GAGAAATTCACCACAAGCTACCAAAGCAACCTCTGGACTGAGAGCCCGACTCCTTTAGGAGCGGATCTGTTTTAGATCGGACGAAGCTGATTTCATTTAATCTCACAAATAGATGCTTTTAAAAGTGATATCTGAGGTGGAAATCTTGAGTTTCCTGCATGGAAAGATTTCTAAAAAAGTACATCTGTGCAGAAGTGTTGAGTGCCAGGTTCAAGGACTGGCTCTGCAGTAGAAAATGTGCTTTTTGTGTTACCTTTTTAGTGATTTTAACTTTTATAGTCTAATCCTGACAGCCTATAAAACCAAACCCCAGCGGGTCTGTTACTCTCAGAACTGTTGCTGCACTTTTCTGTCTTTTCCCCCAGAAACCTTTTCTTTAGATACTAAATTCAGAGGCCTTTTATGAACTTTCATCGCTCTGGTATGCACAGTGCAATACAGAATCTACCAGCGTGGGACACACACTCACACACACACACACACACTCACACACACAGAGAAATAATGTGCCAGACTCCCTCTACATGAACTAACCTTTAGCCCGCACTTTAAAATGACTGCTGTTTTTCATTTCCCTCGAACAGATCTGACGGCCGTGGCAGTAATGGCGCTGATGAATGCCAGAATAAACAGACGGTGGGAGACAAGACAAAGAAGAAGATGAATGTGTCTGAAAGGTAAAATTCTTGGCAGTTCAAAATCAGAGAAAAAAGACAAAAAAAAACTGGATTTCATTTTTGGAGTTTGTGTGTTTGCATGAGACAGTTTTCATGTTTGTACAGAAACAGAATTCAACTTAAACAAGCTTTTGTCTAAACTACTTTGGCCGTGGAGGAGAAGAGACGAGCCAAACCGGTCAGGAACAGAAACCACTAAGTGGATCCTTTCTGATTTTACAAAAACACGCATCAGCCGGCCCAAATGTGCAGATAAAAGTTTGTAAAGTTGGAGCAGAATAAAGCTTCACTTGATCAAAATAAGAATAAATTACCACAGATGTTAAAAATGCTCCTCTGTGTTTCAGCTCCGGCCTCCGTCCGTCGTCATGGCGCCGTAGACAGTGTCTGTCCCGCGCACAGACACACACACCGTCCCTGTGTTTATTTGAAAGTGTTTTCCTGTAGCTCCAAACTGTAAATCATCCTCGGTGTCAATCTCTTGCTGAGCTCTGCAGGCTCTGCCGGCCCCCCGATTTATTTATCACCTGCAGTATTTATGTAAAATATTTACATCAGCAGAAAGTATCATCTGTCAGTCATGTGTGGACGCTCTAATAGAACTTGAAGCAAGGACGGCCATAACTGAGAGAGTGACAGCTGCTCCTCATCTTATCACAACTTTTTCTATCAAAGTGAAGGGCCGCTGTGAAGGATGGTCAGCTCTGCCGGTGAAGACCGTTGGACTCAGGACCAGGATTCAGGTTCTTATTTTGAAGAGTTGGAGTTTTAGATCGATCAGTTCAGACCTGAAGGTGCTGATTGTTGGATTAACGGCAGTATTTTACATTAACGTGCTTCACAAAAACAATTAAATATATTTTTTAAAAACAAACTAGAAATAAGATCCCTGTGTGTGTGTGTGTGTGTGTGTGTGTGTGTGTGTGTGTGTGTGTGTGTGTGTGTGTGTGTGTGTGTGTGTGTGTGTGTGTGTGTGCATGAAAGCAGAGCATATTTACACTAGTTCACTCACGGTGCGCTGCAGCCTTTTGGAGCCGTTTCATCACATTTGGCACATATATTAAATCAGACTGTAAAATTAAAACCACTTTAAAACTTTTATCCAAACTTAATAAATTAACATGTAATATTATACAGCCTGTCAGCTACAAATGCAAAAAGTAAAAAATGCTCCTCACAACCTAACCCCTCCTCCTTCTGTTAATAACCAATCAGATTTAAGGATTGAAGATTATCTGGAGAAAAAAGCGGCTGGACTAGGATCAGGCATAGGATTAACTTTGACTCTAGGACTCGATCGAGCTGACTGAGTCGACTAAAATTCTGATTGGTCGACTCGTTTTTTTTCCGCATCAATTTACAGTCTACAGTTAATGTCATCAGGAGGAACATACCAAGTACTAACGGGGGTGTTTACAGAGCAACCCCGTTTCACAGGTAACAGCCTGTCTCAGATCACCCCCCCTTGTTTTCACCATTTTGGATTCGCCCAACCCACCGGAGACTGACTGGAGTCAGGAAGTTTGAAAAGCGTCAACGTTAATCAACATCCTGTGTTTTTTTATTTTGAGTGTTTCAACTTTCATCATGTTTGATTGCCTTTTTGTGCTGATATCAGTATATTTTCACCTCGCCGAGCCGCAGAAGGGTTTGCCGTCAGTCGCCCCACTCCCTCCATTAGTCGATTTTTGGTCGCAAATTTCAGTGCTTTTGTCGACCAAGAATTTCTCTGCTTGATTACAGCCCTAAAGTCAGTGACCAGCCACATCATCTCAGTGTGAGAAGTTCATTTAGGGATGTTTCAGTTGGACTCACATGTTTTCATGGATAATAAATGCCTATTCTCAGCAATTGAAAGTTTTGAGAAAGTGTTTCTCAAACATGCCTAAAATATTCTTTCTGTTTCTTAAATTGTCCTCCACCTCAGTCTGTCTCACCTGTAGCTCATGGAGCCAAAAGCTGAATCTGGGATCCTCGACCTTCTGAAGACTTCCACTTTAATCTGCATTAAAAAAAAAAAGAGAAGAAGTGAAATATGAGGGATCTGCAGTGACAAACGTTCTTGGATTAGTTTCTGCAGAGCGATATGAAAATTTACAGTTGGCATTAATATTAATGCATCATTATCAGCCGTCTGATTTCATAAATAAGTACAGCAGTGTCAGGTGTGGTGTAGATCACCGGGATGGGGCTCACTTTGCTAAACCACACTTTGGGGGTTTAATTGGGAAAATTGCAAATCAGGTAGCCGGCCGTATAACTCATTGTCACATTTAATCAATAAACTTTGTAAATCAACTCATTTAATTTATAAATGATCTTCTATAGATCAGGCAACCAATTAAACAATTAGCATACATTTAGCAATTAATTAATTTACCCATTAATCACGCCATTACTGTTCAAAGTTTGTGCCGGCAGGTTTGGGAGCAGACGTGCAGGCTGGCGTCGCAGCTCTACATCATGCCTGGGGAGGGCAGATTGTGACACAGCGAGATTTACTGTGCTAAAAATCAATGCAATTAGGAGAGAGGCTGGAAGCTGGCCTGGGGTCCAGCAGGGTCTTTAGCACATTTTTGACACCCACAAACACACACACACACTCACACACACACACACACTCTTCCAAACTTATCAGAGTCGATTTAGGACGCTCTGAGGTGGTCATGTGCCGCCGCTGCAGTGATTCTGTCCGTCCAGCGTGTGGAGCCGCTCTGAAAGACGCAGCACACCGTGTCTTTAAACATCAATCTGTCATTGTCGAATTAATTGTGACACCTCGACATAATTACCACAAACAAATGAGACAATGCTCGGGTTGATTGGTTGCCCCTGTCTTGCACCACCTTTATTGATGTTAGCATTTATCACAATAAAGACCACATTCCCCATCATGCCCCCTGCTACAAAAACTTTAGTCTGGTCTGTGGATCACATGGAGACTTCCATCTTTAACTGTGTCAGGTGTGGAGGACGAACATTTACCTGTTTGGTTTGTTGTTTGTTGCTGAAGTGAGTTTGATAAAATGACCAGAGTCAGCTCCAGTTCAGGTCTCAGTTATTTCTAAGAGCCACCAGATTATCACCCAAAAACGCCACCCTAAAAAAATGTTTTAAAGGAGCAACTTTATATTTAATCTTTTATTAAGATAACTGCAGGTTTTAAAGCTGGTCTGCAGCATTTAATAGTTACGTCTCCTTTTATTGAGTTTTTAATTTCTTAGAATAAACTTAAGTCTCTTTTTTACATGTTTTGGTTTTTATCTTTGTCAGCTGTGGTTTATGTTGAGGAGGAGGAGGCTTCAACACCAGAACACAGAAACTGGACCAGGTTTTCAAACAGAGAGAGGAAACCGTCCTGTCCTTGTGTTTGCTAGTTCTTCATTAAGACTCACAAACTTTTATGTGCGTCTACCTGAGATGATAAAGGTGTTGTTGGTGTCTCCATGGAGTTTTAGGGCTCGACAGTGCGACCGTTCCACTTACATTTGCGGCTAAAAATAGATGATTGCGAATTGTAAAATATTTAGGGTCACATGTTTTTTTTTTCCTGTAAATACGGCGGTGAAGTTAGTTTTAGGTTGGATATATTTTCCTGTAAATACGGTGGTGAAGTTAGTTTTAGGTTGGATATATTTTCCTGTAGATACGGCGGTGAAGTTAGTTTTAGGTTGGATATATTCTCCTGTAAATACGGCGGTGAAGTTAGTTTCAGGTTGGATATATTTTCCTGTAAATACGGCGGTGAAGTTAGTTTCAGGTTGGATATATTTTCCTGTAAATACGGCAGTGAAGTTAGTTTTAGGTTGGATATCTGACGGACATTCTCTGAGGATCTACTGGTGTCTTCTCTCTCTCCATAACCGGGAATAACAACAGCAGCGCGGTTAAATCTACTCGACACCCTCACTGTCAACGTCGGTGTTGAATAAGGGACCATCAATAAATTACCGGTTGATGTTCTCAGAAAAGGCTGTTTTCCTTCAATAGCTTCACTGTCATGTGACCAAAAGACCTAAAATTGATTTCTAATAATAGTACTAAGGTCGATCAATAAGACTGACATTATTGATCAGTTTTCATCGTGCTCCTGAAGTTCTTTGTGTGCTCCTTGTGAAAAAAGTTGGTGTCAAACCCTGTACTTTTCCCGTCAGTCTGTGACATGTCGGGCAAATCCAGTGCTCAGTGTTTGTCTGAGGTGTATTTTTTCTAAAACAGTTGCATGCTGGGAAACGTGGTCAATGAGAACTGTATGATGATGTTGCTAAAACACTTCAATAACTCTGATTTTCTGCCTCTTTCTACCAAACAGGTCTGAGAAGTTCAGGTTTCTCGGACCTGGAGAGCGTTCCCCGTGTCCTGGTTTCCTCGTTGCTTCTCTGAGATGTTGTGGAAAGCTGCTCTCAGACTCCTGAAGAACTGTCCGGGCCTCGGGTTGCTGATTGTCTCATCTGTCTTGGCTAAGTCAGCAGGATGTGACAGCCGCCCTCTCTCTGTTACCCGCTGACCACTGGGCTTGGCATCCTCTCAGCTCACCTGCCCTATCACCGCCTCCGCCGTATCTCCGTCCTCGCTGGCTCTCACCTCAGAGTCCGTGCAGCAGGAATGAGGATCAACGTCTGGGTGTCAGAAAGGAGAGATGTGGGCTAACGATTCCTGACGGCGGACTCGGACCAGTCCGCTGACCGGGCTTCATTTATTTTGATGAATCTAAACAAAGAGACAAACCTCTTCAGGTGCCGTTCATTCAGTTTCTTTGAAAAGTTGAATTTTCAGAGAGTTTTTCAGTTTCATTCACTTTACAGAAAAATGCGTCAAAGTCTGGAGTTTGAGTTTGACAGACGTCTTTGAGTTTGAGTGAATCTGTTGCAGATGGAGTTTCCTCTTCCTCCTCACTGAGCTGCTGCAGATCCTCCTCCTCCTCCTCCTCCTCCTCCTCCTCCTCCTCCTCCTCCTCACAGTGATTGTCTTTCAGGTAACTCATCCTGCCTGTCATTCAAAGAGAAACTGTACATCTGTGCTCTGTTACTGCTCAGGGTGTCAAACTGATATTTAACCTGCCATGTACGATTTCTGCGCCACGAGAAACACCCGTTTTTTTTGGAAAGGTGCGTCTCGTCAGATGTTCATTTTTATCAGCCAAGATTACAGCGTGTGTTTGATTTGATCTGCATGTGGTCGATCAAATTTGACAAAACCAAACATCCTCCACTTCCTGATTTCTACTTCGAATTTGTCATTTGAGCCGTGGGATATTTTGCTTATATGAGCTTTTCTTTAAAGTAACATAAAAGCTGAAAATTGTCTTTGAGACTCAAAGATCTCTAATATCTGATTTCTCTTTCTGCATGTGTGTTTTTCATCCCCGCTCCTTTTCACTCACAGCTCAGCTCCATCCTGATCCCAGACTTGAAGCGGCGACAAACGGCGTCTCGTCAGGGATAACAGATGAGCGCAGATGAACAGTGTCAGGTAAAGTGCTGTGAAAGACATTTAATGTGTTTTATATCAGTGTGTCTGAATTGTCCAGGAACACTTGAATCACTCAGTGTCAACCAAATACGGCGTAATGAGACTCGCCTCCTCTCATCTGGAGACACATGTCTCTCTGCTGTCACTCAGGCTAACGGGGGAAAAAGGGCTTTTCGAGCCTTTTGAAGCACACGGCCCGTATATGATGATAGAGGCTCCGCTTCGCTTTGCTTTGCATCGGGAATTGCTCATGCGGGATTATTTCATTACGAGTCCCCCAGAGAGGGGACAGAGGTCACACTCTGGAGCTCATTCAAACATCTGGAGTTCAGGAACATCAATTATTCAATCTGGATTGAGACACCTGAATGTTTTTTTCACTGAGCACTTAGAGGGATTGGATTTCCAGAGGCTGAGGAACGGTCCATTTTCTGACATTTCTTGGGTTACTCTGTGTACAAAGCTTGAGCTGTTTTGAGTGGTAAATTAGTCTTGGCTTTGAAACACTCCCTGAGTCCCCCTGCCTGTGGTTTCGCTGTATATCTTTCACTGTACAGACACGTCCCGTCCTGACAGCGGAGGCTCTGCGCCGGAGCTTCATTTTCCAGCAGGACGTTTGAAAGTGTCTGTTTGGAAAACTCAGAGTTTCCTTCTTTGTTGCCAACACAAACCATCGGCAGGCCGGGCCCAGAAGTGTCACTGCCTATAAAGAGAAAGACTGAAGGAGCTGTTTGGACCGGGTTCTGTTGAGTTAGCCTTCATGATTGATGGAGGAGAGGAGCGTGAAGATGTGTCGGGCGGAGCATCAAATCCCAGATCAGACCTCGTCTTAAACTCTTTATTAGAGTCTGAAAACACAGGAAGGTTTTTATTTTGAGTCTGAATTTATCTTTTTATTTGATGATTAACTTAAAAACTGAGATTTTAAAACTCATCGTACGTCAGTGACCCGATCAGCTGATTGGCTGCAGGTCAAAGAGCGTGTGCGTCTGCAGATAGTGCAAAAACTCAAGTTGTGCACTAAAACTGAAATGAGCTTCTGGGTCAGAGACTTTCACGATCAGCTAGATTATGTTACAGAGACGACCCGGTCTACAGGAAACTGTAGCCTGATTTGGTCTCTCAGTAAAGTGGCGGGTCTAAAACACTCAAGGGTGGTAAAGGTAATGTAAAAACAGTGAAATATCCCTTTAAGTTCATGAATGAAAACAGTTGTTGGTATTAATGAGGTTCTAAAGTTCGTTTGGTTGTTGGATTTGGTTCGTTTGAAGCTGGTGTACCTACCAGATGTGTTCAGGCTGCCAGATCAGCTCAGGTCCTGCCGCCTATCGATAACGCCACGCTGTATGATTGGCTGGAAGTTGGTCAGAATGGTCATGACATCACAGAAGCTGTTTTCACTGGATTAAGTTTCATGGGATTGTAGTTCTTCAAAGAAATCTATCACTACTTATCAAAAGGGACTCACGACAGCCGGGTTAGCGCCTCTTTTTGGTCGCCAAAGGAAATGTGGAATAAAAACAAAACTATTTATAAACAGAGATCCTTTTTTTTTCTTTTTCCTTTAGAAAAGTTAAAAAACATTTAAAAATTACAGCACAGTAAGTTATAATTCTCTGTTTTATATGGAGAACAAACTTCGATGTCAGCTGACTCGCCGTAGTGTGACGTCTTCACCAGGCTCTGAATAGAAAAACATTTTCTGACAGAATTTTTGTTTTTTGTGTTTTAAGTTTTTTCTTGGATTAGAAAAAAAACCTTTTTTTTCAGTGTGTCCTCGTTTCCCTCCGTCACAACTGGAGAACAGCGGACTTTGAGCGTAGAGGGAGCGGTCTTTAATTATCCCCACCTGTGCCCGGCTACGATGGGAGGGTCGGGATGATGAAGCCATTAGCTGTCTCTCCACTGGCACCACCAAGAGTTTGTATACATCTGTGTCTTATTTTCTTTTCTGGCACAATCAGTCCAGCAAGCTAAGCAGGCATGACCGGATTTGGCAAGTTCCAAGGACTTTGGCAAAGTTAGACAAGGAGGACGATGCGGTGAGACGTGGAGAGGGGGACGAGCTGGCATGGACGCCGCGTTTGCTTTCTCCCTCGCTCCGGTACTTTGAGCTGGGTGTGCTGCTTAGAGAGGCTGCAGTGTTGGTCAAAACAACCGGGCGACCTTCGGAAGAGACGAATACGAGAGAAGTTACTGAATGGAAGTCCTGGGACAGGCTGGCAGGGGCGTTCCCACAGGGGGACCGAGGGTGGTATGAGCCCCCTTTGAAAAATCTGATGACGCCATGGATGACCCCAAAAGTTTCCTCCAGTGCGAAGAATAAAGTCAACAATGATTGGCTCTCTGCTCAGACTGAAGCTGTGCTGTCACTGAGGAGCGCCCCCTGGTGGTGAAAACTAAAACTAAAGCAAAGAAATCTCCATTCAGCCCGAAATTACAACATCTACTTTTACTCCAGAGTTTAAAACGTTGACAGCTCGGACTCACCCGGGATTTCCACCGCATTCATAACAGCTCCGATCCAGAACAGCAGCAATTTTCGCCACACACCAATTCCTACCAGATCCATTTGTGAGGCGAATTTCTTGGGGGATTACAGACAGCAGGTATCACGAGAACTCACAAGAATCTGCTGGGTCAAGTCCCAGTTCAGGAGCCGGCCCAGACCTCCTGACACTCCTGCAGGGCGTCTACAGCCGATAACAATTGTAGCTAATATTTGAAAAGATTGATCATGGAGAATACTTGTTTTCTACTTTCAAACCCCTTTTTATTGCATTTTCTTTAAGCTTTTATTTTGGTCCTCATGGTCTCATTTCATGTTGTCTGGTTCTTGTGTTGTCTGGGTTTTTTATGAGATATGAGAACACTCTTCAGTTTCTGAGGCCTTGATTTGTTCGTCTTGTTTTTATTTTCTTTCACTTTCTGTTAAAACACTTTGTTAACGTCTGTTTTCAAAAGTGTTTTACAAATAAAGTTATTATTATTAATACTTCGAACACACACCCATAGTCGTATGAGGCAGAACTGCTTTCGACATGTGCTTCCTCTGCCCATATTTGGCCACCCCCTGGCCTCGAATGCTCCGGACACACCCCTGCTTTAATAACCCCTGATCTGTTCGTCTTGCTCCCCTCCCTCTCTCTCTCTCTCTGCGTGGTCGGGGTGCTGTTCAGGATTATTGTGATACTTAAGCTCATCTCCTATTTGCCTGGTGGTGCTTGATAGAAAAAGGCTCATTGTGATTTCAGTATTGTCACTTTTGATTAGCTGACTCCAGCCTTTGTCTGGCCCTGAAAGTGTGCATGTTGTCAGAGCTGTTTACGAGCAATGACCAGATATGAAGGCCAGACTATGGCGCTCATGTAAACAGCCACATCTGTTTGAACCCACCTGCTCCCCGGTGTTTACTGGCCCTGCTGTAAATAATGAAATAAGTCTGTCCCGGTACTAAGAGACGGATTACAGCGGCACGGACTTTACATTAAATGCTCAAATAATTCATCAGCGTTATGAAACTCAACAAAGTTTCATTCATCCAAAAACAGCATGCACCTGCACAACACCACCTCCGCGTCCTCCTCCTCCTCCTCCTCTCAGGTGCTGCTCTGCGTTCATCCATTCAGCCCCTCGTTCATTCATTCATTCATTCATTTCCATCTTTATTTCTTTATATATCTCTCGGAGTGTTTGTTTTCATTTGAGTCCCTTGAACCCTGCCACCCTGCGTGTGACACCCGGGCTGTGAGCGAAGACGGAGAGGCGGGCTGGTTCAGAATGATCACTATCATTAACATTCACGGGGGGTTCACTTATCATCCCTGACTGGAGGGACATGGCAGCCATTATGAGACGTCCGCAGGTGGAGCGCCATGATACATATTGCATCTTGCCACAATGGATTTATGTATTCAGTAACAAAAGAAAAGTCTAATGAAAAAATACAGAGGGCAATCCTTTATTCCTCGCTCCACTTCAACTGAGGCCACCATGTCCTGCTGGAGGAGGAAGAGGAGGAAGAGGAGGAGGAGGAAGAGGAGGAGGAAATTCCAGGGCAGCTCGCTGACCTGTCAGTCAGCCTGAGAGAGGCCCGACCGTACCTCACCTCACCTCTGCATTTTTTATCAGGACGCTGAACCTTTAGTTTAACCTCTCCGACAAAAGGACGTGTGTTAGATCAGCTGATGGAGGAAATGGAAACTCTAACGTTTTATCGACAAAAAAACAAAGATGAGTTTATCATGCAAACGTGTGTCGTCTTTTTATTGTTGATTGATTATTTCTAATTAGCTCAATAGTTGTTCATAAATGATTAAATCTCATAAAAAGACGTTCGCTGTTGCTCCGTATGTTTCATATTGGACGGACTGGTGAGGACGACATGTCCTCTGCTCATTTCTTTATTTATTTTGGTCTTTTTTGTGTTTTAATTACGTTTGGTGGTTTTTGCACACTGCTTTTCTGCTTTTCTGTTGATAGTTTTTTGATAGTCTCTCTTACAATGTTTTA